ACCACCCACTTTCTCCTTTTCAGACCCTTCTTTAAAGGCAAAGCATTCTCTTTCAATAACAAATGCTGAGAAACTCACATCTTGCTTTTTTCTTTAAGTGCTGAAGGAGAAGTAAGTCACTCAGCAAGCAGTGCATTTTTCCCCCGTGAGTGGAAACTCCATTTGTGTGGGTGTATACCTTGCCTCTAGGATACCCTGAAATTTTAACCACTACAACCCCTGAGCAAAGCCCATTTAGTTCCAGAAGTTGGAATGTTAGGCAGCGGTCTAAATTGTTACCTAAGATTTCTCAGATGGCATCTTCCCTGCACAACAATTTTCTGGCCTAATTAACACACTAACACACACGCTTCTGGTCTTTTCCAATGTGAACGTAAAACAAAACAACACAACAAGAAAGTGTGTTTTTTATTTCAACAGGCATATACAAAGGTCATTTAAAAAAAAAATGTGGAAGGGACAAAAGCCACCAGGAAACAATGACCTCTTGAATCTCCGTTTCTCCCCAGAACCAATTGGATTAAAGAGTACTTGGACTCAGCCCCTATATTGATTCTCATTTTCAAACAAGTTCATGGTTTCACTGCAAGTGGTAAAAGGAAGACTCACTACTATAACGAGGTCAGTGTGTCCATCGCATGCGGCTTCCTCCTGGCTGCCCTGCAGGTAAGGCCCTTTCAGCAGGCCCAAGGGAGACAAGAGAGGCTGGGGGACAAAGGTGGACACAGTCAGACATGCCAGCTGGGCTTCTGGAACTTGTGGAATGAAAGTTGAACTCCTCAGTAAACTAACATGATGCCCAAACAGACTCTGGAAACCTGAGTCTCTTGGTCAGGAAAATTGTCATTGCGTGTGTCTTCACCTGCATCAAAATGAAGCTTCCAGGGTTCTGGTGGGCACACATGGGGATTTTAGATCCTTTGAGTCACAAGGACAGACAGAGGTCATCCGTATGTTTGTTCTCTTAGTAAACACAGGCTTCAAGAGACTTCTCTCACGGAACTCCTGTTCTGAGACGTTGAATTTACATTCTATTGGAAACACATCCCTGTGCTTGAAAAAATATTCAGTATACATTAGCTAAGGAGCTCTGGTAGCGTAGTGGTTATGAATCGGGCTGTAAACTTAGAGGTTACCAGGGGTGGACAGAGTGGG